GATGGTTGTAAAATATAATCCTCAAACGGACCGTAAATATGTTTTTGGCTTGTTTTCACCGGTAACAGTTTTCATTCACATGGCACTGAGTAGTTTTATATAAATGATATCACAAATGTTAGCCATACCAACTCTGAGGGACAGGGCAGTTACCAGTGAGAAAATGGATTCAGAGCAGGGGTCCCCAACCTATGGTGAGTTGTATAATTATTTCATCATATGTTACAAAGTAATAATAATAGAAATAAAGTGTACAACAAATGTAATGCGCTTGAATCATCCTGAAACCATCCCCTCCCCCAACCCCTGGTCCATGGAAAATTTGTCATCCATGAAAACAGTCCCTCGTGTCAAAAAGCTTGGGGATTGCTGATGTAGAGGACTGAAATGATTTTCCCAAGATCACTTATCCAGTTAATAGATGGCTCTGGACCTAGACTTCATAACTTACCCTTCTATGTCCAAAACCCCTTCACCAATACCATACATTTCTTCATACACACAAGAGAACAGACCTAGATATACGGAAAGCACAATAGGAATACTTCAAGGGCACAAAATCCACCCTGTATTTCCTCCATAATTCACCACAGCACTCCTACACAATGCTCAAGCACAGCAATTGCTGAAAAATGTCCTTATCACTATCCTCAAAACACACACACACACACACACACACACACACACAGAGAAAGAAAATTCTGTAAGAATGTACAAATCACTCACAGATGTTAAGCTCAAGTGTAAGGTTATGGATGATTTTATTGTTTCATTTTTCTTTATCTTCGTTTTCAAATCTACACTCCTTCATATATATTGCTTATTATTTTTGAAAATGAAGATACTTGTTAATCCCACAGCAATAGATGCAGATACTTCCCTGAGCTGAAGAATTCTTTTAGTCCTGAATTAGCCTCAGTATTAATTTAAGAACTAAGATAATATTATTTCCCTCTTGAGCACAAAATTCAATGTCAAGCAAATAATATTTGGTATAGTCAAAAATATAAACACAGGGTGGACACAGTGGCTCAGTGGACACAGTGGCTCACACCTGTAATCCCAGCACTCTGAGAGGCTGAGGTGGGAGGATTGCTTGAGGCCAGGAGGTCAAGATCAGCCTAGGCAATGCAACAAGACCCAATCTCTACAAAAAAAATTTTAAAAATTAGCTGAGTGTGGTGGTACACACACTCAGTCCTAGCTACTCGGGAGGATCACCTGACCCCAGGAGTTCCAGGTTGCTGTGAGCTATGATTGTGCCACTGTACTCTAGCCTGGGCAACAGAGTGAGACCCTGTCTCTAAAAAAAAAAAAAGAAAAGAAAAGAAAAGAAAAAATACTGACCTTGAATTTGAAAGCAAAGAGGATAACTGGCCTGTAATTAATAAAGCATATACTTTTTGTAGTTTTCCTAAAGATAACCCAACTATACTCTCTCATGCCTTTTACAAGTAACATTAACGCTTGCATTCAACTCCTCTTTTAACTTAGACAAATTCTTTGATCATATCTAGATGAAAGAGGTTCTTTCATCTAGATGTAAAGGGAAATGTGTTCTGCTTAAACACACACACACACACACACACACACACACACACACACAGAAATGCAAAATTTGGAAGTAACTAATACCCTACGTGATGCCCAGATGATGGAGTTCACAATAGTAACTGCATTATTATTTTCTCAAAAGGGAATCAATGTGATGTAAAACATGACATCTTTGTTGAAATCTGCATAATCTACTCACTTTATTATCCAGTTTTCTGGCTTCCATTTCAAACAAGACCACTCTATTATCCTTTATTTCTTCAGCTGAAATCTATGAGTAGATAAGGAAAGTGAAAGAAAACAAGTTTTAGGGATTCTAATATATTCATGAAATAGGTATTGATTTATTCTGTT